CACCCTACACAGAGCTGGGCTCTTCTACAGTCTTTACTCTTTTTGTTTCGTTCAAGCAGAGGAGACAAAATGCCACAGAAAAGAAAGATCGCTAAAAGGAAATGAGAGGCCGGGGGTCCAGGCCTAGCATTATACGCTCCTCCTCTGGGCCTCAGTTTCCTCATCTGTAAAGTGCGGAAGATGGACTAAATACTCTCCAAGATTCCTTCTGAGAGCAAAAGAAAAATACCCCAAGATTTGAAAACTTTACAGAAAGGGAAATTGAGGCACAGAGGCATAGAGCAATTAAGTGGCTTGCATAGTGTTAAACGACAGAGCCATCACTAACTTAACATGTCCAAGATGGAACACCTGATCTTCCCCGACCCAGACCTGCTGTAGCCACAGCCTTCTGCGTCCCAGTCTCATGCAAATCCATCCTTCCAGTCGACTAGGCTTAAAACCTTGGAGTTGTCCCTAATGCCTTTACTTCTTTCATCCCTTACATTCGATGCATCAGCAAATCCTGCTGGCTCTGCATTCAAAACATATCTGGATTCCAAACACTTCTTGCCACCTCCATGACTACTTCAATGCCACCCTCGCTGCTCTCCTGTCTGCTAAACTGAGGAGCGATGGGAAGCAGGAACATTCATGCTACAACCTCTTGGAGCCCCATTTCCCTCACATAAAAAATAAACATAATTCTGACCATTGTTTTCCTGTTGGGGTGGCTCTCTTTTTCTTGTTGATTTTGTAGAAGTTGATTGTACCTTCTAGGTATTAATCCCTGGTTTGTTTCAGACATTGCAAATAGTGTCTTCTTCCATTCTGTCAGCTGTCTATTAATTTTGTCCATGGCACCCTCTTTGAGAAATTCTCTTTGTTAAGGTAATATAATTTATTGGATTTTTTGGCTTATGATTTTGTGCTTTTTATGATTTGTTTAAGAAGTTTTTCCTTAACTCTAGGTCACAAAATATTCCACTACATATTTTTCTATTAACTTTCAAATTTTACCATTCAGGCTAAGGTTTTTAACCTCCCTATCATCCAGTTTTATATATGGGTTTAGATAGCAATTTAGCTTAATTTTCTTCCACAAGGTGAGCCAACCCCATGTAGTAAATAATTCATCCCTTGCCCATTGATTTATAAATTATATTGTACACCTAAATTCTCAGACATGGATGCAATTGTCTCTGAACTCTCTTTCATTGGCCTATTTGCCTGTTCTTGCATCAATACCACACTGTTTTTATTACTATGGCTTTAAAAAAAAATATTCCCCCAGCTTTACTGAGGAATAATTGACCAAAACTATTCTATTTATTTAAAGTGCACAACGTGATGCTTTGATATATGTATATATTGTGAAATGATTACCACAATCAAGCTAATTAACACATCCATCACTCCATCTAGCTGACTTCTTTTTCCTTGTGATGGGAATACTCAAGATCTACTCTCAGCAAATTTCAAGTATACAGTATACTATTATTTATAAACTATAGTTGCCACGTTGTATATTTGATCCTTCAAACTTATTCGTCATCAGGATATCTCTCTGGAGAGATACTTTCCTCATTCCACCCCACCTGGAATCTGAATTCCGTGTTGGGCCACTACCCCTTCCTACACACACACACACACACACACACACACACACACGCGCCCCTCACTCTGCACCAGCTGTGACACCTGATGCTCTGCCACTGGCTCCCATCCCCCAACCACAGAAACCCACCTTGCTCTTTCCCACTTAATGGCTAAACACCAAGCTGTGCAGGAAGGAGAGGGGGCAAAGGGAAAAAGAACTTGCTTAGAGTTTTTAAAATTTTATCAACAAAACTTTTGTTTCTTCTTGCTGTATTAGTTTGCTAGTGCTGTCATAACAAAGTACCACAGGCTGAGTGGCTCAAACAACAGAAATTTATTTGCTCACAATTCTAGAGGCTGGAAGTCTGAGATCAAGGGCTCCACAGAGTTAGTTTCATTCTGAGGTCTCTCTCCTTGGCTTGAGGATGGCCATCTTCTCCCTGTGTCTTCACATGGTCTTCCCTCAGCGCATGTCTGTGTCCTAATCTCCTTTTCTTGTAAGGACACCAGTCATATTGGGTTCGGGCCCCCTAATGACCTTGTTTTAACTTAATTACCTCTTTGAAGACCCTATCTCTAAATACAGCCACATTCTGAGGTATTAGGGGTTCGGAACTTCAACATATGAATTTTGGGGGAATACCATTCAGCCGATAAAATTTGTTAGGCTAATTCCTAGATATTTTGTGCTTTTTGATGACTATAGTGAAGGTTCTTTTATATTTTAATTACATTTTTAGATGATTATTGCTACTATAGAGAAATGCTATTGATTTTTGTATGTTCACTAGCAATCTTCCTGAACTCACTCATTAAATCTAATTCTTTGTTGATTGTTTCCTTCACCATCAAACAACGGAACATTTATCTCCCTATCTGACATACCCTTTCTCAATCAGCTTTATTTCCCAAGGGTCACCATTTCCCATAGGAGTCCTCTTACCTTCTTTATTTAGATTCTCATAGACAACTCTGTATGGTAGAATCTAGAGGGAGATACAATGTCAAGAATGAGGTTTTTTTGTTTTTTAGATGGAAGAGATTTAAATTGCCAAAGGAAAAAACACTTGGTGAGAAAGAAATTGAAGAGAGAAGAGAGAAAGGTGTACAGAGGAAACATAGAGTGGGATTTCAGCAGAGATGGCAGGACTGGCCTTGGGTGGGAAAAGAGAAGAAAGCGAATGTGGGTGGGGATGTGGAAAAGATGGTAGGTTGGGGATGCAGAGATAGGTTGCGGGATCTCCTCTCTGATGATTTTACCTGTAAAGTCACCTGTTTTAAGACACAGGGGTGTTGGGTGGCAGGAAGAAGTTGGAGTTTGGATGGAAGGCTGAAGGAGAACTGTAAATGCTTGTTGTAATCACATTGCTTTTTCTTCATCTTACCATAATTTGCTATACATGTGTAACTTAGAGAATAAACCACTCCCTACTCTTACCTCCATGAAAACTGAGAATAAGAGCTCTCGGCTAAGAATTTGGTCAAATCCCTTCCAGAAAGTTCAGGAGGTAGGAGAGCATCCATTAAGAGGTACATGGCTCCTTTCTTATTCCTAGTAGCTTGTACTGCCTCTGAGAATTCATGTTCGTCTTTGACAGGGGAATGTGCAGTGTGTGTATGTCTGTATCTAGCAGATCCAAAAATCACCCACTGAAATTGTCAGGAGAATGACTATTCATACTACAGCTACAGTGATGGGAAAACCTAAAAGTCAACTCAGCTTAGAGAGACCATGCCCACACCAACATCCATACCCTACACCTTGGGCCCCAGAATGAGATACAGGGAACAGATCACATGCCCCAGGTAGCCACTGGTCCAAGGAGGATGAGAGACACAGGAAACACCATTGAATCCAACCTGGAGCTTGGAGCCAGAGCCAAGGGTCAACCTAGCTCAGTCAAGTCAACCTGTAGACCTATGAGCATAAGGATAAAGGAGTGTTGTTTTAAGCAACTGAGCTTCAGGATAATTTGTGAGACAGCATAACTGTGGCAGTAGCTGACTGATACACCACTTTACGTCAGAGGAATCCAACTTTAGAAAAGGGGGAGAAGGGTAGAGGCTGAAACTTTTGAGTTACGTAAGCAGTGGTTGCCTCTATTTTATCTGGTAAGCTGTACTGACTCACTCATTCATTTACTCATTCATTCATTCAAAAGATGTCTAATAAGCACCTACTATGTTTTAGACACTGGGGACAAAACAGTGAATAAGACAGATGGAAATCTCTGCCCCATGGAGCTTATATTCCAGCATTTGAGATGTATTTGCCACAGGCTTACACGAGCAGAGGGAATGGTGCTAGACTGTACCAACCTTGGTGCAGCTTGCTCGCTTACATTTGTTCAGCTACTACAAGACAGGCTTTTAGTCATTCTCGTAACCCAACTTAGTTCCCTTTTCTACTTCTCTTCTGAAAGGAGTGACTTGCCTGAGTTCCTACTAGTTGACAAGCACTAAAACTACACTATTTTTAATCATTACAAACTCTTTAGAGTGGTTAACAGTATTCCCATTATATACAAGAGGAAACTGAGGTGAGACAGGTGAAGTAATTTGCCCATAGTCACACAGCTGGGAAAGACCTTGGATTTGAACCGGTTGTATACAGCTACAAAGCCTTGTTCTGATGAACCATATTGGCTCTCTTAAGCTTGGCATTGCCCTGGAAGGTTCTAGATTAAAAGAAAATATTCTCTAATGTCAGCTAACTTCATGGTGTAATGAAAACGGTAGTGTCTCAAATACCTCTATGACTTCATCTTTTCCTACTAAATGAATTAATTTCTTCTTTTTTTCCTGATTCATATTCCATGAGCACATGTGGTTTAAGCCAACTAGAAATTCTTCAAATGGCTACACATCTCAGAACACATAATCTTGGTTAGGTCTTCAAATTTCTTGTCCAAAATCTAATCCCAAATCCCACTCCAAAAAAAAATGCAGCAGGAAACGACTGTTTGCCTTGGAATGATAATCTTAGAAGTCAATATAAATCTTCAAAAGTTAAAGATGTTGGCTCTATTGGCCAAATTTGGAACAATTTGAGCACTAAAAATGATAATAAAGGATTATAACATTGAATGAAACAACAAAAAAGGAATTTAGAATTCAGAGTTAAACAAAAGGTGGGATGGGGCACTTTTTTTTTTTACAATTAAATGCCAGCTACTAAACTGGAGTAGGAGTGATGTAATTTAAAAACTCATCATTTTGCAACCACTGATGTAATTAATAAATGCTTTAACTAAGGATCATCAATAGTTACTAAACCAGGGGGGCCGGCCCCGTGGCCGAGTGGTTAAGTTCACACGCTCCGCTGCAGCGGCCCCGGGTTTCGCTGATTCAGATCCTGGGCGCGGATGTGGCACCGCTCGTCAGGCCACGTTGAGGCGGCGTCCCACATGCCACAACTAGAAGGACCTGCAACTAAGATATACAACTATATACCAGGGGGGATTTGGGGAGATAAAGCAGAAAAAAAAAGTTACTAAACCGTTGGGTGAAAGATTTTTGGGGAACAGGATATCTCCCAGTCTCAAAGTATTACCCTCCTTTTATTCCTTATAAATTACAAAGGGTAAAAAGTACCTTTACAATAGAGAAATCTGATGGCCACTGCCTGAACCAAGCAGTCAAACTGACCATCACTGATAATGCCACAAATTGATGTTATACACATCCTGATGATTTGCAATGGGAAATACTCAAAATGTCCTATGTAATATTCTTGCCAGAGAATGTTTATTCAGAGTGTCTGATCACAAGGAAATGATCTGACAAATCTAGATTGGAGCCATTCTACAGGACAACTGGCCTGGACTCTTTCAAAATGTCAGTGTCATGAAAGACAAAAGCAACAACAACAACAGAAAATCAGGCGAGAGGACTGTTCTAAATGAAAAGAAACCAAAGAGACACAACCACCAAATGCAAAAATGCAGTACTTGACCCTTGATTGGACTGGGCAGGGGGCTTTAAAAGACATTTTTAGAACAACTGGAAAAGTTTGGACTATATTTTAGATAATACTATTTCACTAATGTTAAATATTGTGGGTATGATTATGAGATTGTGTTGTGCAGGAAAATATCCTTATTCTTTGGAAATGCATGATAAAGTATTTAGGGTGAAGTACCAAGTTGTCTGCAATTTGCTTTCAAGAGGTTCGTCATGTATGTATATGTAGGTAGGTAGATAGATAGATGGATATAGAATAGATGATCTCAAATGTGTAAGAGAGGAAAAAAAGAGGAGAGAGAAAGAGAGCAAATGATAACTGTTAATCTAGGTGAAGAACTCATGGATTTCATTGCTTTTTCTTTCAACTTTATTGTACTTTGAAAAAATTTGAACTAAAAATTGGGGGAAGAAAAATAAAGGTGTTGGAATAAATGTTGTCTCTGTTCCTTACCTTGCTGGCATTTGAAAAGTGGCAAGATCTGAAATAGATCATCTGTGGCAGATGCAGTCCCGTGTGAAGGCTGGGTCAGGTTAACTGTCCTCTCTGCAAAGCCACGTCGAGTGTCCAGCCTTTACGCTCAGCACACTCAGGAGCTGACCAAACGGGCGCTGGCTCCCCTGCTTCTCCCCCAAGTCTGGACATTACGATGATTGTTTGGAGCTGGCTTTGATAGACAAGAGACTATTTGTGCATTGCTGGGAGAGACAGTGAAGGGTGAGTCAGGAAAAGACTGGGAAGGAGATGAGGGGGCAGAGAGATGAGATATTTGCAGGCAGGGAAACAAGTCAGGGATGTGTGGGAAATGTGGAGGAGGGGAGTCTGGGAAAGGGTGAAGGAGCAGGGGCTTATCTAAAAACCCTTTAATACCAAAACAACAGGGCAAGGCTTATTTACCAGAGGTTCCCACTGTGAAGTAGACAGGCAGCACTTACCTGCGTTTCCTCCTCCTGCAAGTGAGACAAGCCTCCTTCCATCCTCTTTCATCCAAGCCCTCCTTTCTTGGCAAACAGCTGATTTTCTTCAAGTTAATGTCCCCTAAGTTAGGAACAAAAAATTTTAGAGCTGGAATATGTATGGAGACAGATTGTAGGAGGGCGAAAGCAGAAACAGGAAGACCAATTTAGAAGCTTTTAGAGTTGTCCCAGTGACCCATGATGGTGGGCAGGGGGGTTCCAGAGGAGGTGGTGAGAAGCCAGTCAGATTCTGGATGCATTTGAAGACATAAGTCAAGAGCATTACGTTGTTGCCTTGCCTACAAACATCACTGGCTCCTCAGATTTCCCTTCAGTATTCCCTGTCTCTGTGGTTTATATTCTTTAACTAGAGGGCTCAGTTTCTTAGAACCACAAGGCGAGTTGGAGTATGGACAGATGAAGGCAAATCCATCCCCAGTCCTGAAAACACTATTCAAAAGGCATGCCCTCCTGATGGAGATTGGTCAGCAACCAAAGGAAGTTGGGTTCAGCTTGGCATTCCACCTTTTCCGGGAAGCCTTACTTCGTGTTGTGTGATACCTGCCTCCTATAAACCCAAGAGCAGTCTCATCTATAGTAATCATACCCTAGCTGACAGTGAGTACAGTACTTTACAATTGTTTCACACTTTTTGGGGAGGTCTTTCCTGACCCCCTAGACTGGATTATGCCCCCTGTTCTATGTTCCCATAGTATCTTGTTCTTTTTCTGTTATAATCTCACTATATTTTATTGTAGATACTTGTTTATTCATTTGTCTTTCCTGCTAGATTGAAAAGCTTTATGAGGAAAAGACAATGTTATACCCCCAGTACCTAACACAGTGCCTGGTTCACAAAAGGCATTTAGTGCATCCCTACAACTGAATAAATAAATGATCAGTTAACTCTTATAATTTTCAAAACAATTCTTCCAAAGCAAGTGTTATTGTGTCTACTTCATTGATGAGGGGAAGGAGCTTTTGAGAGATTATGGTCATGAAGCTAGTTAGCAGAAGAACTAACTGGGAATGCTACCCAGGGCTCAGCTCTTTCCACTAAGCTCCACCTGGAACCTAGAAGAAACATCTCTTCATTTAATCAATCAACGGACACTTACTGATTATTCCCCACATCAGGCTCCACTGTGGGGACATATGCTCATGGAGGGACATACAAAAAAGAGTAAGATTTGTGTTCAGATGCTGGAAACCAAAAGCAGAAAAATGGACACGCAAATATGTAATTGCATTATAGCATGGTAGGTAGCACGGAAGCTCCTAGGAAGAATGTCTAACTCTGCCTGGGTGAGGGAAGCCTTACATGGATCCATTGATCTGGGTTTTGAAAAAAAAAAAAAAGTACTTTCCTAGGAAGAGAGCAGGGACAGTTATTAAAGGATAGGGCTGATGGCTGGTGCCTCCAAAGCTGAGTAACCTTGTTTTCTGCTCTATTGCTGACTCTCCCATCCCACCCAAGCCCCAGCAGCTGGCTTCAGGAAATGGAGGAAGCAGTCTCAGGAACTCAGGCTTGCTTAGCTCAAAAGGAGTCAATGCAACAAGAGACCCACAGTGTGGAGCCAGGTTGCATTATAAACATCCCTAGAGCTCACCTACCTGGGCCACCATATACAGACTGTGCACACAGTGGCCCCAACGCCTCATTTCAATCAACACATAAAATCTATTTTTGCTACAAATGAAAGGACACTGAAGGTTATCTGACATGGAATAAAATGAGGCACAACTTGCTGTAAGACAGCACTGGAACACGGGAAGATTACTGGTTTCCCGGCACCTGGGAGAAGGTGCCTCCTAAGAATATACTGAACTAACCAGGGCAGTCAACAATTCTTCTCTTATAGAGACATGGCACGGAAGGGCAGCCAAGAGAAGGAGGTTATTCTGTGAGCATTGTCCTACCACATTAGGAATTTGGGGGGAAAAGCTATTACCATGAGCAGTTGAAGTGTCAGGAAATTTTTAAGTAGGAAAGTGTGGTGATAATATTTACGTTTTAGAAAGATAATGGACAGCAGTATGCATTAAGAGGAACAGAGGACAGAGACAGGGAGATTGTTTAAAAGCTTAATGAAAAAATACCAGTGAGAGACAATGAGGCACCCACCCTCAGAGTATTAAGAATGATGAGGGCATCCACCCTCAGAGTAATAAGAATGAAGAGGAGGAAATGGATTCAGAAACTATTTAGGAGATAGAGTCATCAAGACATGAATCACTAATTGCATGTAGGGGGTGAGAAAATAGGAAGACGAGAGGCTGATTCCTGAGCTTCTGACTTGCAAAAGTGGTTGGATGGTGGTTGGAAGAAGAGAGAGAGAGAATGTGTGTGTGTATTCTGTGTGTGTGTCTGTCTGTCTGAAAAGAAAGTTCAGCTTTATAACTGTTGAAGTGACTATGGACCATAGACAGGTTTCCAGGAGGTAGCTGGATATGTGGGCTGAAGTTTGGGGGAAAATTCCAGGCTGGAGATAGTAATTTGAGAGTCATCAGAGTTTAAATGGTAAGTAGGAGTGGATGAGGTAGCCCAAGGAGACCATAGAGAGAGAGGAGAAAGAAGACCCAAACTTAGGGATCATCAACACTTAAGGGGTCATTAAAAGCAGTTGCTCATAAGGAAGACTGAGCAGTCAAGCCACACTACCTCCAAACTCTGAACACCACTGGGAGCCTTAGATGTTCCGGTTCAGTTGGAACTGCATTTGGCTGCATATAACAGAAATCTGACTGACACTGGATTAATTAACTTCATATCTAGAAGGCAGTCCAGGCAGGGCTTAATGAAGCCATCAAGACTCATGCTCCTTCCAGCTCCTTTTGTCCTCATGATCATAAGATGGCTGCTCCACATCAGGCATTAATCCCTCACTCCAAGGAGGAAGAAGGGAAGGGCAAAGGGCAAAAGACACTTGCCAAGCCTCTCCCTTTTTACCAGAAAAACAGTAGTTTTCTGAGAAGCCCCACTCATTAGACTAAAAACTACAACTCATGGGCCAGAATTGAGACTACAAATAGCTCCCTGCCTGGGTACCTGAAGGAGATGAGGTGTTTTCTTGTTTTTAACTTTTCGTTTGGAAATAATTTCACACCGACAGAAGACTTGCAAAAAGAGTACAAAGAATTCCTGCGTATCCTTCACCCAAAATTTCCAAATATTAACATTTCCCACATTTACTTTATCATTTTCTCTCTCTCTCTCACACATTTACTTCTACATACTTTACTTCCTAAAAATAAAGATCTTCTCTTACACAACCATAGTTACAATGATCAAAATCAGAACATTTATATTCATATAATGCTATTATTTAATCTACAGCTTTTGCCAGTGGTCTCACTAATGTCCTTTATTGCCAAGAAAAATATTTTTTCTAGTCTGGAAACCAATCCAGGATCACACCTTGCATTTTGTCGCCATGTTGCTCTGGTCTACTTTAATCTAGAAATTTCCTCAAACTGTCTTTATCTTTCATGTCATTGACATTTTTGAAGACCACAGGCCAGTTACTTTGTAGAACATCCCTTATTTGGGTTTGTCTGATGTTTTCTCATGATTCAGGTTACATGTTTTTGGCTAGAGTACTACAGAAGTGATGTGGTGTCCTTCTCAGGACATCATATCAGGAGGCACATAATTTTGATTTGTCCTATTACTGGTGATATTAACTTTGAGTCATTGGTTAAGGTGGTAAAGTGGTATTGGTGACTTTCCCTACTACAAAGTTACTATTGTACCCTTTGAAATTAAATTAGTAAGAATTTGTGGGACATGCTTCGAGACTATATAAATACTGTGTTTCTCATCAAACTTTCACCTACTAGTTTTAGCATCTGTTGATGATCTTGCCTGAAATAGTAGTATGGTGATTGCAAGATGGTGATTTTCTAATTCTGTCATTCATTCTATAATTTATTGGTTTGTCTTTTACCTTATAGAAGAACATTTCTTCCTCCTCTATTTATTTGTTTATTTATTTCAGTATGGACTCACAGATTCCTATTCTCTTCAATGGGTTATAATCCATTACTATAATTATTTATTTTGATGCTCAAATTGTTGCAGATTGGCCATTAGGAGATCCATTAAGCTGACTTCTGTGTCCTTTTGACACATCCCCAACATTTGTTGAGCACTTTTCTTATTTGAGATGATTATTTTTAACAGGGCACATTACCACCTTGATAAAATCAGGCTTCTGATAGTAAGGAACAAGAGGAGAAATGGAGGTTGTGTGGGCAACCAGTTGTATCTACCACACGTAGCTCCTCACCAGCCAAGAACTGGTGGCTTGAACCCAAACTGACAGCCTTGCTTTGTTCTAACAAAACAACTTTGTGCCCACAACCCAAATACAGCCTTGAGGCTACGTAATTCCATCTATGCCTTTCCTCACTGTAATCCTTTATCACCATCCAAAATGAGTGCTCCTAGGGCCAAGTCCCCTGTGTTGCACAACTCCAGGGGATGCCATTCATATTGTAGGCTATGAATGACGTATTAGAGCAGGGGCCTGCAAACTTTTTCTGTAAAGGGCAAGATAGTAAATATTTTCAGCTGTGTGGGCCATTCGGTCTTTGTTGCAACTAGTCAACTCTGCCATTGTAGTGTGAAAGCAGCCATAGACAATATGCAAATGAATCGGCATGGCTGCGATCCAACAAAACTTTATTTATGGATACTGACATTGAATTTCATATCATTTTCATGTATCATGAAATATATGCTTACTTTCAATTTTAAAAAACCATTTGGAAACGTGAAAACTATTCTTAGCTTGCGGGCTTTACAAAAATAGGCAGCTGGTTAGATATGACCAGAGTTTCCCAAACCCTACCCTGCTCAGCTTCAGTTATCCTACGCGGTGGCCCTGCCTCCCATCAGGTCTGTTCTCCCTTATCCTAATCTCTGATCGGCCCCTCTGCTCTGAGCTTTCCACCTTCTCTTCTTTCTCAGGTCTTTCCTCTGTGCCCCGGAAAATCTCTATTCAATTGTAAATATACTTCTTTTCACCTTTAACCTCGTAGTTCCTTCTTTGCCTTAACTGCAAAGTGAATGTATTCCCT